ATGTTGGTGTGCCTTATACACCGAATACAGCCATTTTGGGCCTCCTAAAGCCCCACCTCCGCATCCCATTTTTACGAGAAACAGACAGTTTTTCGCAAAAACGGGGGCTTTTTTGCCTTGCCGCAGGTCTGCTGAAGCCTTCAGAATGCTGCTGGGGGCTGAGGGAAGGCAAAAACTTTTTTCTTACTTACCTCTTCGAAATCTTGGTGCGTCTTATACACCGGTGCGTCTTATAGTCCGAAAAATACGGTAATTTAAAACTTTGGTTCAATGAGGCCTGCAAGCTCACTCCTAGGCCTATTACCTGCAACTTTCCAATGGATATAAGTCTTTTCTCCTAGACCGTTTTTCACACTTAATGACCATTGTAGCATCCCCATGGTCACGTGATCAAAATTTAGACAACTGGCAACCAGCATATATTTATGACCGTTCCACTCCTGGTGTCCCAAGGTCACCTATTGTGACTTTCTGACAAGAGAGTCATTGGGGAAGCCAGACTCACTTAACACCCATGTTAGTAACTTAACAAGTGCAATGATTCACTTAACAATCGTGGCCACAAAGTCCGTAAAATGGGGCGAAACTTAATTAATTGTCTCAACTTGGCAAACAGAAATGTTGGGCTCCACTATGATCAGAAGTCAAGGACTACCTGTGTTTGGGAAAGTAGAAGAATAAGTCTGTGACTGTATCTCATTCACTTATCAAAAGCTACCATATTTCTCAGAGTATAAGACGCACCTTTTTCCCTCAAAAAAGAAGCTGAAAATCTGGGTCCGTCTTATACACTGAATACAGCATTTTTTTGCCTCCCGAAACCCCGCCCCCTTCACCAAAATGGCCATGCAGAGCCTTTAGGAGGCTTATAGAGTGCTCCTGGGGGCTGGGAAAGGCAGAAATGAGCGAAAAACGCACCAATTTTTGCTCAATTTTGCCCCCCCTCCCCAGGCCCTAGGAACACTCTATATGGTTCCTAAAGGCTATTCATGCCCTTTTTTTAACAAAAAGTGGGCTAGCTTTTGGGGGGTTTGCTCATTTTGGGGGGCCCCAGAAGCACTCTACGAGCCTCCTAAAGGCTATTCATGCCCTTTTTAAAAAAAGAAACGGGCCCATTTTTGCGAAAAATGGCCAGTTTTGGGGAGGTTTGCAGAGTACAAAAACATTTTTTTTAATTTGCCTCTTCAAAATTTTGGTGCGTCTTCTACTCCGAAAAATTTCTCTCCTGAGAAAGAGAAGAAAAAGTGATACTGTATTTTCTTATTTCGATAAATGGCATTTCTTTTTCTACCTAATAATATCCTTAAAAACATAGCTTTTCTTTTCAGTGCCGCCACTGGAAGGGTTTGTCATGAACAGAGTTCAGGGAGATTATTTTGAAACGCTGCTGTACAAGATATTTGTTTCCATAGATGAACACACAAATGTCGCAGAGGTAAGGCATTTTTTAAAATATTCCTCTGAGGCTACATATCAACACCTGTTTGGAAGCTTTTATTTATTTAGATTTTAATTCAATTTTCCTTTCATTTATATTGTAGTGAATTTTAATTTCTGTAGCTGCCCCGAATCCTATGGATGAAATGAGCAACTGTACAAATATAAATTGTAAAAATATAAACAAGCTAATAAACAATTGGTTGTTGTTGTGGGTTGGCAACAGTTCTCCAGGACTGCAGACAGACAGTCGCCCTCTTAATCCTCAGTACAGGTAGTTCTCGAGTTACAACAGTTCGTTTAGTGACCGTTCAAAGTTACAATGGCATTGAAACGTGACTTATGACCATTTTTCACAGTTACGACCTTTGCACCATCCCCATGATCATGTGATCAAAATTCAGATGCTTGACAACTGGCTCATATTTATAACGGGTTGCAGTGTCCTAGGGTCATGTGATCCTCTTTTTGCAACCACCTGACAAGCAAATTGCCGATTCACTTCACAACCAGGTTATTAACTTATCAACTGCAGTAATTCACTTAACAACTCTGGCAAGAAAGGTCATGGCAACTGGTTCATATTTATGGCAGCGGCTGTGTCCTGGGGGGGGGGGTGTTCATGTGATCCTCACTTGCGACCGTCTGACGTTCAGTGTCAGTGGGGAAGTCAGGTTCCCTTAACAACCATGTTACAAACTTAACAACTGCAGCGCTTCACTTAACAACGGTGGCATGAAAGATCTTAAAATGGGGCAGGACGCACTTCACAGCTGTCTCACTTAGCAGCCAAAATTTTGGGCTCAGTTGAGGGTCATAAGTTGAGGACTGCCTGTATTACCTTTGTCCACTACCCAAGTCCATCATTTTATGTTGATGGTGAGCAAATATAAAAAACATGAAAGCAAACAAACAGAAAATAAGTACTTAGAAAAATAGCATCTTATGAATCAGTCCTCCCCAAAGGGATCTTTAACCAGTCTAGTCCAAGGCCTGGGGATAGAGCCAGATTTTCAGAGCTTAAATTAATTAAATAAACTAAGGTTCAGGGGGCATATATGAATTTCCAGGGAGGTGTCATTCCAGAGGTCAGGCACGTAATGACCAAAAAGGCCCACTTTCTGGCTCTCACTAGGTGACCTTGGAACAAGACCTTGACAGGATCATCTGCTCAGATCCCAAATCAAGATTTACAGGCAGTGGAGATTTTGTGACAGTTGTAAGTGCAGGGACTGGTCATAAGTCACTTGTTTCATTTGTAACCTTGAAAGTCGGTAAACGAATGGTTGTAAAGAGGAAGGCTAGTGCCACAGAAAGAAAACCCAACTACTCCACAGTTTTCAACTAGAGCATGGATGTCAAATTCACGGCGTCATGTTGCTGTCAGATGACATTTTTCCCCTTCACGAAGCTGGGGTGAGGGTGGCCTGCACACGATGCATCCAGTCCGTAGGCTGCCAGTTTGACACCCCTGGAGGGTCTCGCACGTGATTATATACATAGCTGAGCCAGTAAAAACCATTAAGGCAGGGGTGTCCAACTCGATTTCATTGAGGGCCGTATTTGACCTTGGGGGGGGATGGGGGGGCGTGGCCAGCTTGATGTCACTTGTGTTGGGGGGTCCCTTTGGTGTCCTGAGCACTCTGCCAGCGAAAATGGGCTCCTGAGTTACGCTTTCAGCTGTGACTCTGCAACACTCTGCCAGCAAAAACAGCCTGGGAGGGCCACCTGTGGCTCTCCTGAGCTCCATTTTTGCTGGCAGAGGCACCACAGGCCAGTCCTTTGATGTTTCCAGTGTGGCCCCGTGGGTCAGATCTAAGCACCCCGCGTGTCAGGCGTGCCTCCATCAATAACCAAGAAAGAAAACTCCCAACTCCATTGTTCACGGAATTAAAATACTTTGACTGATTATAAAAAGATAGCAGCGAAAGTAAAGCAAAATCTGAGCCAGAAATGCGCGAACAAGTACATATCAAATGATAACCCAGGCCCCTCCCTCCAATGACCCCCCCCCCAGTGTCCAATCTGCTACTCCCTTAGGTGTCATGTGGGGTGCATCTCCATAAGGCATCATCATGTTGGTATGCAGGATGGTTGGCCTTGACCAGGACTAAACACCGCCCACCAGCATTCGCAGAAGATGGTGAGAAGAAAATTCCCTTTTCCATATCACCTCGTGTACCATTTATTTCCATCCCAAATGCCATGCCCCCACCCTCCCCATTTCTATGGCAGCCAATAACAAGCAAGCATAGCAGAGACTGACACCGCGGGCCAGATCTGGCCCCCAGGCCTTGAGTTTGACACCCATGCATTAAGGTCTTAGAGCTGACAACTTCCTCTCTGTCTTCTCTCCATCACCCTGGTTGTACGGTACCAAACCCCAAAGCCAGGTAAGCATATTCCTGAGAAGGGAGCTTCACCTTCCAGGCTTATTCAGGTCTGTTTTTTAAACGCCAGCTTGTCTGCTCCATCTATCATCAGATCATGGACGAGGACAGGACATACCGACCTAATAGCAGCCGAATCTTAGTACCACCAAGGGTGTGATGATCTTGCTTGGGAATGAATAAGTCTCAACCATTAGATCCCACCATTCTCATGAGGAGCCGGTCCTCAGTTTCCTGATCTAGGCTTCCCCAAAAAGCATGAAGCCAATTTCTGGTCCCGACAAAACCCTTTTTATTAAATGAATGTGAATTCCTCTCATTCACATTCAGCAAAGGCCCGGCAAACAGTCTTTCAAAGGTGAATTTATGACCACAGACCTTATCTAGCTTGGAAAGCTGCCATGTAAATATTTTCCAAATGAGGTGCTGTGCAAGGAAAGACTTGGCACAGAGTCTCTGAGATTCACGGACAGATCTTCACACTCCTGAAACGAATGAACAAATTGTTTCCTGAAAAAGCCCACTCCCCTTTCGCTCCCCTTTTATTTCCTATGGGAGGGGCCATTCACCGTCCACCTGTGACTTTACTCCCAAGTTGACCCTGATTTCTGAGCTGGTTTTTTTTTTCTGGCAGCTCTGTACATACGCACACTGGGAACAGGCTCCAGTTGTTCCTCTGCCTCACTGCTGTCTAGCTCCATAGGCACCTGATCACTGCCAGACGGCCTCAGCCCCGTCTCTGCCTCCAACGCAGAGCCTTGTCCAAGACTTCCCCAGCCTCCAGGACTGGCCCATGTTCCTCCCCAACCTCCTCACTGTCCATCTCTGCTGCCAGTTCCACTGGCCACTAGCGGGCCACAATACTTCCCATCATCTTCCACGCAATCTCTATTATGGAGGTGATGATACTTGCTGTTCTAAATGGGAGAAATAACCAGAAGAACGTGCTGCTTTTCTTTTTCCTTTTTGTACTAGTGGAAAACACTTTCCAATAGAATGTAGGATTAACTCAGATTCCTAGCTACATATCATAAATCCTTGAAATGACAGTGAAATGAACTGTAGCTCTGAAAGTACTTCAACTTTCTCCTCTGAAATCTGCCTTCACATTTACAAACAAAGCTGATTTATGCTGGATCAGACTATCAATCAAACTTTGGGCCAAGGGACCTTAGATTCCAAAGTATATATTGTGCTGCTGAACTGTGGCTGTATTCCAATCCCATGAAAACCGCTGAGATTGTGAAATTGCATAAGAATGCATTTTCCATAAGGTGATGCAGATTTACCATTGTGGAGTGTATTGATATCTTAAGCCTCTGCTAAATACTTGAAATGTATTTACTGTAGTATTAGAACTCTAGCCAGTTCATTGGTTGCTTTTATTTCACCATGATGAAATGTTGTTAAATATTCCAAGAAAACACTATATAATTCAGTCATTTGGCTCTCTTAAATGGTCAGTACTGAATAAGTGTGACATTTTTAATGGAGCTTTATTTATTTAGTGTATGGCAAATACATGGACTTATAGTAGTTCAAATGTTAATGTCCAGTCCACCCAGCCATTCTATGTTGAAAAAAATCAGACCTTGGACCAATGTAACCTCTTGATGGGCCATCGGACACAATGTGTTGGATATTTTGTCAAAGAGCACCATAGTCACACTGAGGGGTAGAGGCAAGACCCCACTTAAACAATGAGTCCTGGAAGACACCATGTTGGGTACGGATCCTGTTCCGAGTTGACCAATGTTGGTGAGGAAGATCAAAACCTGGCACATTTTAGCTGCCAGTATCTGGGCGTTCAGCAGCCCATTTGGCTTTCCATTGTGGGTTGATGTCAAAGTTGTTAGACAGCTGTTGAGCGAGTTGTAATTTTGTTGTCATGGAGCTGATGTAAGCGAACACACATTATCATTAGTAACCTTTACTTATTTTGTGTATTTTTCAGCTAGCAAATGTCCTTGAGATTGATTTGTCGCTTGTGAAGGTAGGCCTCAACTCCATTCAATTGTATGAGCGAAAAGATTAATTGTTCTATTGCTCAACGTCTCTCTCTTTTTCTCTTTCTTAAAATTATTAAAATACAACATGCTGATAAAAGGATCCTGTTTTCTTTTCCAGAATGCTGTTTCCATGTATTGCCGGCTAGGGTTTGCCCATAAAAAGGGTCAAGTAATAAACCTGGATAATCTTCATTCATCATGGCGGAACGTTCCCTCCATAAACAGGCTAAAGTAAGTATAAAAATACAATTTTACACTGAAAGCAGAAGAGGACGATTTCCTCAGCTTCCTACCTCAGTTTTACTCTGTGTTTGTTTGAGCATTTATTCAAATGCTGTTCTGAAGCATTTGATAATACTCAATAATAGTAGATAATACTCAATAATATGCATAGAGCAAGGCTTCTCAACTTGGCAATTTTAAGATGGCTGGCTGGGGAATTCTGGGAGTGGAAGTCCAGGTGTCTTAAAGTTGCTAAAGTTGAGAAATACTGGTGTGGAGGATTGTGTACAATGTTTTAGATTCAGTTGCAAAAAGCTGCTTCAGGAAACCTTGAGGTACAAAAGTAACTCTCGTTTCCAACTTTTAAAGAGCCAAGGTGGCGCAGTGGTTAAATGCAGCACTGCAGGCTACTGCTAGATCAGCAGGTCAGCGGTTCAAATCTCACCGGCTCAGGGNGAACAGGCTCCAGCTGTTCCTCTGCCTCACTGCTGTCTAGCTCCGAAGGCAGTTGAGAACTGCCAGACGGCCTTGGCCCCACCTCTTCCTCCGACGCAGAGCCCTCATCCGCACATTCCCCAGTCTCCAGGACTGGCCCATGCTCCTCCCCAACCTTCTCACTGTCTGACTCTGCTGCCAGCTACACTGGCCGCTGGCAGGCCACAACAAAATGTGTTATACAAATCCAGAGCAGTTATGTTGAACTTAAGGAGTGTGTTTATGGATTCCTTGATGGATTGCCCTTTCATATTGTTGGCTGCTCAAAGGACTCCTTTGGAGCGCTGTGGAAGAGAATTCAGTCTCATAAAGAAAGGATATATCATACATTTGAGACCTAAACCAAGAGCTGAGCTTTCAAAACTAACAGCGCTCTAAATATCATCGTTGACATCAGTGCATCTTCAAAGTACTTGACGGGCATCTCCGTCCGGGAGGAAATGAAGGGTGGAATAAGAAAGCGATATTTTAATACGTTTTTCACCCTAATTCATGCTCCAAAAAAAGGAAGCTGCGTTAAATTTTGGGACGAGATAGCTTAGGGCTGGGAGGACGTCATGGACAGGAGGAGAAGCAGGGCAGTCAGATTTCCACTAGTGACATTCTCTTCCTTGTAAGCTGCGAGTTTGGTATTGCTGAAAGCTTCAGGAGATACAACTTACAGAGCCTTGGTGGTGCAGTGGTTAGAGCGCAGCACTGCAGGCTACTTCTGCTGCCTGCCAGCTGCCTGCAATTTGGTAGTTCGAATCCCACCAGCCTCAAGGTTGACTCAGCCTCCCATCCTTCCGAGGTGGGCAAAATGAGGACCCTTCTATTACCATGGTGGCGCAGTGGTTAGAATGCAGTATTGCAGGCCATATTGAATCTGGCCACAGCCAGCAGTTCGATCCTGACTGGCTCAAAGTTGATAGACTCAGCCTTCTATCCTTTGGAGGTGGGTAAAATGAGGACTCCAGATTGTTGGGGGCAAAAGGCTGACTCTGTAAACCACTTAGAGAGGGCTGTGAAGCGGTATATAAGTCTATTGCTATTACTATTGCTACAGCCACAATAAGACCCTGTTGCTAACTTGGACATTGGTTAAGGAAGTTTTGCTCGATTCTATGACCTTTCCTGCCACAGTTGTTAAGCAAATCACTGCATTTGTTAAGTGAATCTGGATTCCCCATTGACTTTGCTTGTCAGAAACCAGCTGGGAAGATCACATGACTCTTAAGATGCTCCAGTCATTTTGAATACATGCTGGCTGTTCAGAATTTGGATTTTGATCATATGACTGTGGGGATACTGGGATGATTGTGTGAGGACCAATCTTAATCTACTTTGTACAGTGTCATTGTAGCTTTGAGTGGTCGCTAAATAAATAGCTGTAAATTGAGGACTACCTGTAGGTTATTTTTGAAAGCCTCCAGTAAAGGAGCGTGAAAGCTCTAGAACACTAGTTTGCAACTTCGTAAACTTTTAAGATGTGTGGACGTCAACTATGGAAGTTTACTTCAACTGTTGCGATCAACTGGTTGAGTTGAGTTGTTGAACTGGTTGTGTTGAATTGAGTTCTGTGGTCTTCAGTTGTTGAAGTTGACTTCAACTGTTGGAGTTGAACTGGTTGAGTTCAGTTGTGTTGTTGAATTGAACTGGTTGAGTTGTGTGATCTTCAATTGCTGAAGTTGACTTCAACTGTTGAGTTGAACTGGTTGAGTTGTATTGTTGAATTGAACTGGTTGAGTTGAATTGAGTTGTCTGGTCCTCAGTTGTGGAAGTTGAGATGAATTAGTTGAGGTGTGTTGTGTTGAGTTAAACTGGTTGAGTGGTCTTCAATTGTTGAAGTTGACGTCAACTGTTGAGTTGAACTGGTTGAGTTGTGTTGTTGAATTGAACTGGTTGAGTTGAATTGAGTTGTCTGGTCCTCAGTTGT